GGCCCGGCTTGGCCGGCGGGCCGGCCCGCCGGCCAGCCCGTCAGATTGCAACCCTGATCAAAACATCAATGGTTTTATGATAAACATTTTATCAGTTGACAGGTTTTCGGTATCCTTCCTAGGAACCAAGATAATTGAGCTCAGAGGGCAATTATAGCGATAGCCATCTATTAGAAGAAATACGGTACCCTTAACATTGGTTTCTTATTTCAAGCATCAATTTTTTATTCTAAAAAAACTGAAATGAAATTTTTGATGTGCTGTTCAATAATGAAATATAGGAAATTAGAAAATAGTGAGTAATAGAATTTTGAAAAAAAAAGAGAAATTTATGTTTCACAAACTTAATGAGATTTATCTTTAAATTATATGAATACTACAGCGTCTTCCTTCAGTGACCCTTATTTTCCCATTTTCAGTGCCACCTCCGGAGAAAGTCGAGAACGCCGAGCCCGAGAAAACTGTGAACATTTGCACCGTCTTTGCCGATCCTCAACTCCGCAAGAACATTCTGATCCTTTGGTTGATGTGGTTCGTAACCGGAATGACCGCCTATCTGACCGATTTGTGCGGTGGAGACATGACGAAGAACTTCTGGGTCGGACAATTCCTATCCGGTATCTTGCTGTCGGTTGTCAGAATCATCATGGGCTTCGCTGATGGATATCTTCCATGGATGGGTCGTCGTTTCGTTCTTCTCTGCTCTCAATCCCTCGCCATCGTCTTCTTCGGATGTGTCATTGCATTCTTGTTCGCCGGAGAAAAGGGACAATGGTACTACACGGCTGTCTATCTCGCTGCCTTCGTTTTCACTTCAATCGTATGGGAGCCATGCTATTTGTGTGCTTCTGAGTTGATGCCAACCGATGTTCGTGCCACATCGACAGCGTCTTGTTCCATTGTCGGACGGTTTGCCAATATTGGAGCTTCCATGCTGGTGAGTTAAGGGCAAATAATTCGGAGGGTACACAAATTTTAGGGTCATTGGTGTACAACATCCTCAATTCGGGGGTGTAAAATACCTGAGAAATTCTGAATTTCGTACTCTCGAATGATTGATTTTGTACCCATTTGTGTCCCCGAATTGTGGTACGCTCCGAATTATGAGCCTGACTTTAGAAATTTAGTTAAATGGTAATTTTATGGGTCATTCGATGGTTACTAACAAGGATCAAATTCCAATTTATCTCATGAGCTACATATAGGCACAATGAAACGGATATAATTTTCAGAGTGGTCTCAAAACGGTTTACGAGCCAGGAGTGCATATGATCTCGATCAGTTTGGGACTCACCAACGTCATCGCCGCCTACTTCTTCCTCCAAGAAACCAAGAATTGCAGTTTGGACAAGGCCGGAACTACCGCTGCTAAGCCGGCAGAGAAAGCGTAAGTTCATTTTTAGATGTTTTAGGCTGTATTTGAGGTTACGCTACGTTTGAGCTCACTTATCTAAATTTCTGTGAGAAATATCAAAAATTTGTCAACTGATAAAATGTTAAAGATATTATGAAAAAATTGTATCAGTTGACAAATTTTTGATATCTCTTATAAAAAACGAGATAGCTGAGCTCCAACCGTCTGAGTTCTGATCCTAAAAGTGGTTCAAGAAATCAAAAATTTTCTAAATCAAGTTAAAGTACTGTAAAAGTCAAATCCCAAAAAAACATAATATTTTCAGAAACGAGCAAGAGATGACGGATCTCATCGACCGTTCCATTCAAAACGAGGATCTCGAGAAGAAATAGAAAGTGAATCTAAATAGAACTCATTTTTTCTCATTTTTATCGATTCGATTTTCTCCCCAAATCTTTCAGTATTCTTTGTTTTTGACCACTTTATTCCATCTTGTTTCAGTTTTCCACTCCCGCGAGGCATCTTTTTTTTCTAATAGCATAATCACAAAATCCAGTACCTCGTTTTCTCATTCCCCCGTTCTTCTACTGATTCTTTTAATCTTTGTGAAACGTTTTTGGAAGTTTAATAAATACTTTTAATCGGAATTCGAATTTGAAGTGATATAATTAATATTGAATTGAATTTTTTCGAAGAAATCTAGAGTTTCAGAAATCGCAAAAAAAGGAA